ATATTCATAAATAAAAAGAAAAAAAGATCTTTGTAAAGTTGAAAGGGTGATTGATCCGAGTTTTCCCACTGTTCTCTCGCTTCCCGGGATCTTTCTATCCAGCAACGACTACAGAATTGCAGAAACTAGCTCCTAAGATCCATTTGGAATTGGTTGCTGGACCAAACATGGCCTGATGTCTTCTTCAGTTCCGATCAATTAGCTTAAAGCAGATCTGCATCTGTGCCAATAAGAACTTCTCTTACTGCATTTTCTGCTTCAAGCTTAAGATTTTTGTAATATTTCTTATAGGTTGGTGGAGGTGGAGTTTTACTCTGGACTAGAGTCTGAAAGATCAGTCCTCTCTTTGTAACATTCCTCCATGTTCATTGTTGCAGGAACTTTTGAGTCTTGGCATTGGAGGAAGCATCCCAAATTACAAGAACATAATGGAATTACCCTTTACGTGCATCATCAGCTTGACTCTCCTGCTGTCGATTTCTCCATCATCACATGCTCAGATCGCCAAGGCTCCTGCCCTCAGCCCAACACCTGCACCGGCACCGGCCCCAGATTTTGTCAACCTCACGGACTTGCTCTCCGTGGCCGGTCCCTTCCACACCTTCCTCAGCTACCTTGAATCCACCAAAGTCATCGACACCTTCCAGAATCAAGCCAACAATACTGAGGAAGGCATTACATTATTCGTTCCTAAGGACGGCGCCTTCGCATCTCAAAAGAAGCCGTCCTTGTCCAACCTCACTGACGACCAGCTCAAGTCACTCTGCCTCTTCCATGCCCTGCCTCATTATTACACTCTGGCCGATTTCAAGAACCTCAGCAATATAAGCCCGGTTAGCACATTCGCAGGTGGAGAATACAGTATCAACTTTACGGATATCACTGGAACGGTGCATCTAAGTTCAGGTTGGACTGATACAAAAGTTAGCAGCAGTGTGCATTCTACCGACCCTGTTGCAGTTTACCAAATTGATAAGATTCTCCTTCCCGAAGCAATATTCGGAACTGATATTCCTCCTACTCCGGCGCCTGCACCGGCTCCGGATATTAGCCCAGCTGCAGACTCTCCGACAGGAGCATCGGAAACTGGATCTTCAGCAACAGCTTCGAAGCCGAGTTCTTCTCCTAAATTGAGCAGCACTTGGAGTCATTTGGTCTTGGCTGCTTCAAGTGGTCTGCTGGTGGTGCTACTGTGAGAGACGATTCATGTTGGGACGACTAAATCAATTTGTGTCCAAAGGGTTTGTGGATTGTTTAATTTATTTTCATTTGAAATACCATTTTTTCGACACATGTTGTTGACATTATGTGATTTGTTCCAGTGTTGTAATACTAAAAAACAAGATATACATTTCATACTGTTGAAGATGAATATGCTCATTCAAAGTTAATTGGCCTGTTATTTCATTTGCTGAAAAAGAAATTGCATCACAGGTACATAATCCAGTGCCATACACGGGCATCTTTCAAGTATCTGGTTATACATTCAATCTTTAAGATTGTTCAAGAGGAAATAGTATATATTTTGGAAATCATAATCGTAGTTCCTTAGTCATAAGGTAGGAATTTACCATCATTTTAAGCAAATTCTTCTTTCACCATGGAATAATTGACGACGAGGCCGCCGCCTATATCAACAAGGTTGAGTTTCACTTTCAGGCCTCGAACATTTTCAACGAAAAAATTGTCACCTAAACTCTATGGAAGTGCAGAAGTGATAACACAAAACTAAATAAGAATCAAAGAAGATCAGGGGTCGGTGACTTAAGCTGCTTCTTGCCCATTTTCACCTGCGTCAAGGAAATCGCGATTTGTCGGTCAATGAAGTGTTTACTTCACCAAATCCAGGGAATAATTTACCTGTAAAAGTGATATTTTACCTGAATGTTCTATACAAGGAAAGTTTTTCCCTTTAGACCTCCCCGAGGTTAATGGTACTTAATGATCACTGATTACACTGATCTTGACAGAAGAACCACCACAATCAGAGAGCTTTGAATCAACATGACTTCCAGCTTTTGGTTTAACTTGAATAATGCTGATAGCGGCATGCTTGTGTTGAAGCAATGATCACAATAATTGTTGCCAACTGGAAAGTGGAACGCAATGCCACTATCAAATGCCTTTGCATTTGCTTAGTATTAAATGCATTTCACGGCGAGAAAAGTGCAGGTCTAACTTAGAAGGTACTCTACCATTGTTTTGTGCCCACATAAAGTTTGATGTGGGCATTATTAACAGACACACCGGGGACGAGCATCGTGCCCGGTAGCTGGTCGGATCGAGGTTAGATGCTCTACAGAAGTCGAGACTTAAAAGCCGGCTACGGGGAACGATTTGGCTGACGTATTCTATTTGGATTGGGATTGGATCCATCCCGACCAGACAAATTCCTCTTCACCGTGTAGACCTATTCCTTGCACGACCGATGAAAAGGGTCACAGAATAAAAACGGGTCGAGATCGTTTTCCGAACCTGCGAGGTACACAAGGATTGTTTTGGCAGGACAAACAGAGAAGAGAAAGCAAAGGGGAAATTGCATCGTCAATTGCATGCTGGCTAGGGATGGACCACACATACTCATTATCACACAACGGATACAATCAAAACGACTCTGCAATCTGTCACCAACAACATCAAGGCGGATCATGCTGAGAGTGTGATATAGCGCGCAATGATTCTAAATTACAACTGTGAGGCCAGGACGGATTTCTCACAAAATATGTGTTGATCTTTCTTCTCTATCAATGGCAATGGAAAATTTACCCAAAAGTCTTGAACCTTCTACATTTTTACCAATTCAATCCTAAACTTTTTAATTATGCTCCATCCGACCAATTTTGATCGGAAATTACTAACGTGGACACCGATCGTGCCACGTAGGACGGCCGACACTGAAATAGACAAGTTTTAGTAATATTTTAATGATTTTTAGAAATCTTTATTTTTTTCCTTTTCTTTACTGTTTTTTCTTGGTTTTGGAGTAAGGGCCGGCAATACTCGCTCAATGCCCTTGCCAGATCTGGCCAGGCAAGGGCTTGGCAGCCCTTGCTTTTGCCGGTGAGGTCAAGTGAGGGTCGCGACCCTTGCCTAGAGCCAACAAGGGTCGCCAGCAAGGCATGCCAAATCTGGGCCAGGAGAGGGATTGGCGGCCCTCGCTTTCATTGGTGAGGTCAGGTGAGGGCGTCGCTGCCCTCGCCCCGAGCCAGCAAGGGTCGCTGGCCCTCACTCCAAAACCCAAAAAAGAAAAAAAAACCAAAAAATATATGTATTTCAAAAAATTATAAAAATATCCACGTCAGCGCTAGTTGCCAGCATGCCGCGTAGTACGATCGGCATCCATATCAGTAATTTCCAGCCAAAATTGACCGGATAAACTTAATTGGCAAAACGTGAAAAGGTTTAGGATTTAATTGGCATAAATAAAAAATTTAGGATTGAATTGGCAAAAATACAATTAGATTTAAAACTTTTTTGGTAATTTTCCCAATTACGATAGGAGGCATGTCAAATGATTCTGCCGATTAAGCGACCTTGATCATGAAGACTCGACCAGTACTTAGTTTCCTTCAAACTTTCCACACATCAAAAGCATTCCACATGTGTTTTGCAGCTAATTGCATTGGATTGAAGCACTCGGAAGTTCTTTTTCCAATTCGGGAGTGGATATCTTCATCCCTCTATTAATATATGTTCTTTTAAAACTTGAAACTCTCAACGAAATGGCCTATTAGCTCAGTTGGTTAGAGCGTCGTGCTAATAACGCGAAGGTCGCAGGTTCGAGACCTGCATGGGCCAACTTTTTTTTTTCTATTTTTGTCCCTTTTCGAACCTGCATGGGCCATCTTCTTTCCTATTTTTGTCCTTTTTCTCTTAGGGATTTAGGGCAACTTCATTGATCTTAATCTAATCTTTGATTAACAAAAAGCTTTCCCAAGAATGACCAATTGAATGAAACAAGATAATGGCTCATGCAAAAACTTCTTTTCTATTTTTGTCCAAGACCTGCATGGGCCATCTTCTTTCCTATTTTTGTCCTTTTTCTCTTAGGGATTTAGGGCAACTTCATCGACCTTAATCTAATCTTTAATTAACAAAAAGCCTTCATCTTTAATTAACAAAAAGCTTTCTCAAGAATGACCAATTGAATGAAACAAGATAATGGCTCATGCAAAAACTACCAAAAAAAGGAAGAAGCAAATAAGGAGGGTTAACAGACCCCCAAAAAATAATAACTAGGGTTAATTCGCTTAAAACAAGACCTAACTTCGAGTTCAATTTTGTATCTGCCTTGAACTTTTTTTATTTAAAAAAAATCACAAACTTTCACTTTAATTTTAATTTTGCCCTCGTTAACTATTCGTCCAAAAATCACCTCTTGTTTCTTCAAAATTATTAGTTCTACTGTTGTTCCGTAAGAGTGTTGATGAAGACGCAAATTCTAATGACGAACCTCTAAGTGACCCCATTGATAATTTTGGAGAAGTCGGTGTCGATTTTTGGACAGAGGTTTAACGAGAGCAGATTCAAGATTAGACAGAAAGCTAGTGATTTTTCCTTGAATAAAAGAAAATTCGTGACAGAATTGATGTTAGATTAAAGCTTCATTTGTTTCGCGGTAATATTTTTCTAAAAACATCGTTTAAGAAAATAAAATGAAAATATTTGAAGATAGCGATACAAACGAATTATTTTTAAGAAAATATTTTTATAAATTCATCCATTTTTTACGGAACAAAACAAAATCTTAAAGTTTGAGATGTTTAGGAAAATTAGATCCTAAAAAAAGAGCGAATATAGAGGCAGAAATTACCACGGGCTCCTCCGAGCTGAGACCGAAAAACCAAACGTCGCGGGAAGCGCTGGCCAACAGCCTCGGGCAGGGACATTTCGGTAACTTCCGACGGGGCAGTTGGGGAGCGAAGGGGAAAGGACAAAAACCAAAACCGTTTGTAGCAAAAAAGCATGCTCGGTCCTTTCGCAGAGTTCCATTCCCTCAATCGCAGCCTCCCCCCTCTCTCTCTCTCTCTCTCTCTCTCTGCAAATCTTTTCTCGATCTTCTTCGTCCCTTCTCTCTCTCTCTAGAAAACCACCGTCTCCTCCGCCGGACGCTCGCTAGGGTTCCGGCTCTCGCGGCCCCCGGGTGAAGGCGTCCGGCGCGAAATAGCCCGCTGCCGCCGCGGTGTCTTGCCGGCCAAGGTACGCCCCCCGGGCCTTATTTTTTCGCCTCCCGTCGTCGTCGGCGATGCCGTCTCCGTTTCCGCGAAGGAAGATGAGGGCTGGCTGAGGTCGCTAGGCGCGTTCCGAACTGTGATCCTGCGCGCTGTTCGTCTCTATTTTTCTTTTTTGGTTTCTCCGCATGATGGCGGAACGCGGGGGGGTTTGCCTGTCATCTTTTAGCTGGCGGTGCGTGCCTTGGCCATGAAGGAGCACGGATGGACTGGCCGTAAGAGTGCATTGCGGTGCTCGGTCGTGTACTTGCATGTGATAAGATCTCGACTTTCTTGCGGGATAGCGTTACGGAGTTGGTGAATGTCGTAGGAAGAGGTGGTTTGACGTGGATCGTGTGTGCGCGCGCGCGATTAGACCTACGGCTCGGTCTGCATTTTTAGTCCGTGAGCCAGGGGTTTCGTTTCTAAAGCGGGCGGGAAATGTCTGGGTGATTACGTATTGTTGCCATATATTCACTGTGTCTATGTCTTCGCCTATAACTACGTGCTAATTCTTTATGGAGAGAATGTTCGTGTCGTCTGTTGGGATTCTATCGATGTCTTTCACACTCATGGAGTTGTCACTTTATTAAAAACTTTATTAGTTCGATTTAGTCCGACTGATTACCGTATTGGTATCGGTTCTTTAGTTTGTCAAATTTCGAGAACCGGGTGAACTTATGTTTCTTTTGATATTGTCAACTGAAAAAACAACTGTACGCACACGAGGACCATCAGTAGTAACTTCTAGTGATGCCTGGAGATGGGCTGGTGTGACGTAGTCTGAAGTATTGTCATGTTCGTACTTCCATTTGCTGCATGAATGGCATCCCAAGTAATGGTCTATGCTTCGGGAGTCCACTTAACATACTAGAAAGTGACAAACATAAAAGAAGTAAAGAGAAGTCTATGTACATATGTATCTGTGTGTGCTTATGAAAATTATGTTAGTTGTGAATCCTCCGATGTGTCTGTATGATGTGTGACATTTTAGTTTCTTTTCACCTCAATGCGAAACATTTACTGGGCTTATTTTAATCCATGCTGTTAAGGGTGTTGAATCATTTTGAGTTTTGCTACTCTACTCGCCATTGTATTTCTCATGAAAAATGCCCCTTCTCATTCTTGAGACAGGCTAAGAATCAAATCAACAAATGGAATCTTCTGACGAAGAGGGCGAAATAGTACCTGTCTCTGTCTCTCTCTGTCTCTCTGTCTCTCTCTCTTACTTCTATGCTGTTCTGCAATCTTATCATCATTTTATTTAACAGGACGTTCCAGCCAAAAGAAAATCCAACTTCATAGTAGCGGATAATGAGAATGGTGGTACCAGGGATTCTCAAGAGGAAAATGAGGAAGAAATTTTTGATACGATGTGTGCGATTTGTGATGATGGGGGAGAAGTACTTAAGTAAGTAGTAGTTTCCTTTTCTATTCCTGCGAAGTTAGTTAAGATGCTACACATTTGTTGATGTTGATGATGGAACAACAGGTTTGTGCGAATGTGAGCTTGGTGGTGGTAATCCTTCTTTCGAATTCATTATACTGCAATTTTCTGCATGCATACATCCATGTCCGTAAGAACTATGCATGTTAGATATACGATTATGAATGTACTTTTTCTCGTTATACCAAGGAAAAATTATGAAATATGGAACCCAAAGGTAATATGCTCTTATGCTTTATTCTTCATGCTTAATCTACGCAATTTTTTGTAATATGGAGAGTCAGTGAAAATGCAACTCTTTTGGCAGTCAAAGTTGGTGAAGGTGATTCAAATGCACAAATTGTTTACCTTATATCGTCTTTCATTAGTGGTGCATGTACTCCTTCCACAGCATATGCATAAGATGGGATTAACTAGTAAAATGTAGAAGATAAAGACTTCAGTATGACTAACAAAAAGAAATCAGTTTTAATCGTTAAACTTTCCACCACCTTTCCCGTTTGATATCTTGGAATCTGTAAGTAAATGAGTTATTATTATTAGTACCTAAGCATTTACGTTATTAATGGCAAAAATGGACGCCAAGTAATAGTCCACTTGGCAGCCCTACATGCAACTATGATGAACCATATGCTTCATTCTGTCTGAATTAATGTAATACGCTGAATAGAGCTGATGCTAGCTCGTATTAGCTCAAATAGTATGAGTATATGGAGTGATTCTCCAAATTATTTGGTTGATTTGTTCTCATATCCTTCCATGATTAAGTTTGTAAAATACTTGCTTTTTTGGAGTGTCGTCAATCATGAAATGCTGACTTATGCATCTCTATAGCCTCCCCCTTGTCCTTTTTTGTGGAATATCAAATGTCATCTTATACGGATTTTCTTTTTGAAAGAATATATAGATCAAATCAACTGTTCCAAGAATACTCTACACGTGTCACAAAAGCTCTATGTACATATATCATAACTATCTCCTAAGATTTCACAATGCAAAATCTTTTGAAACTCCCATGCAATGCTCTAACCAGTTTCATAAATTAATATATAGGGAATACAATGTCATATTCTCATAAAGGAAATTTATGCCCTCACTTTATGATTATTCAAACTCTCTAAACCCTCCTCACTTTTTATTTTTTTTTGCAGTATGCTAATATGTTGCACCCTACATCCTTTTGATAGGGCTTAATGCGTATGTACAAAGCAATGTACCATATTCATTGTCGTGGAAGATTTCTCCAATGATTAAATATGAATGCACTTTTTCAATACATAGCCTCAAGTGTTGGCTAATATTATGCATTAAAGTTGCTTGGCACTAATTCATCTTCATTCTTTGGACTTGTCCCTTAGGGACTATTCCTTCTTCACGCATTGGAGTTGTCTGATGATGGTCATATGGATAGATGTACATCCATCCAACATCTATGCACATGTCCTCTTATATTTTTATACTTATCCATGATGCCAATTTAATTTTTATTTCTGAGATTAGCAAGTAGCATTGGACCTTTTAGGACTTATACTTTTTGATATAACTTATACAATAATTTACTTAAACAAATTGTAATTCCACAAAAAAAAAATCACAGATTAAGAATGATACATCAAATAGCGATATATTTATACTAGCCTTCGATGAACTAATATTGCATATAAACTCATAGGGATGAACTGTTATATTTCTCTGTAGGTCATTGAGTTATATGTGCTTCTACATCGCAATTTGAACCATGAAGTAATTTGGATATCTGATAAGCATTTCCATATAGTACGTTGCAAAATTATTTTCTAAATAGACGGGCCGAATTTTGGTTCAACCAAGATGCAAAATTCTCTTCTACTATTAAAGTGATGGATTCCATTTGGTTGACATATCAAATTCACAAACAAAAAAGTACATAAGAGGAACTCGGACCTTTTATTTTTTTGGTCAGAAAGTAACATGGACCTTAGACTTTACAAATGTTGCTTGTAAAATATATTTCTCGAGCTGACTTTTTTACGTCAAGAGATTTTCTTAATTGCTCCTATTCAATATTTGTCATCCACAAATGGTTGTTTATCCTCCGATATCAATCTAAATTAGTGCAATCTAAAACAATGTCTTTACAAACATTATGCCCCATTATGCTGTTATGAGGTACTTTAGGTTAAAGAGAGATTAGTATATTATGTTCTCCAACAATTATTTAAATAATTCTAGTATTATATAGAATAACCATGGAGAAGCCATATAATACCCAGAACATGTTTTAACAAATTTATTGGCTTTGTGAAGCACGTGGTTCTTTCACTTTTAATACAGAGTAGTTCTTAATGAGTGAATTAATTCAAGGTAGTTGGCAGTTTGTGATACTGTTGCTTCTTTTGGTTTTTTGTAGTTGTGAAGGCAGATGCATGAGATCCTTTCATGCGGCTATAGGTACTGGGATCAACTCCTTGTGTAAAACTCTTGGCTTCATCGATGATGCTCAAGTTGAAGTATTGTCTACACACCTTATTCCCGTCATGTTTTCTATATGTGATTTGACTTCATTTGGTTTAGTTTCACTAGAGCATATGAATCCGTGCAGGCTATTCCCAGATTCTTTTGTGACAATTGTAAGTATAAAATGCACCAATGCTTTGCTTGTGGAGAGCTGGGTTCTTCTGACAGAGCTTTGGGTGCAGAGGTATGCTTCATGCGGATTGCTCATTACTTCAGATCTGAATTCTTTGGAACACGACTAGCACACTCTCGTTTTCTTTACTTAGATTAATTGATTCTATGTTGCCTATCCTGCCTTGAATCATCTTCTCATCATTTGGCTCTGTCCTTGTTGTGTTTCTTATGCATTGGACTCTTCAGTGAAAAAGAGAGACTATATAATTGTTTATACTGTCAGCATGCAGAGTATAAGAAGGTTTGTCTTGCACTGTATCAAGTTGGCTTTGAGAAAAGCTATTCCATTTATAATGTCATGGATTCTCATGAAAGTTTTTCTAGTTTATTTGTGTTATGTTTTCCCTTGCTCTACTGATGGACGAGCACAGGCTTACCTTGAATATATTTAGGATAATGTCCCTGGATGCCAGCTTTTTCGTTCATATACAGAGTTATAGAGCACAAATTTTCTAAAGAGGATGGAGCAAAGCATTGGCTCAAATTTGAGACCAAGAGGTACTAAAAAGTCAGCTTTGTTATCTTGGAGCCATTCTGCAAAATGGTGGAGAGCTTGATGGGGATGATATCCCATGGATATAATTGAAATTATTTGGTATCTTCATCTATGAAACAGCTCCACTTAGTGAATGGGTATTCTATTGGAGAGCGATAAGGTTTGCAATCCCGTATGCTTTGGAATGCTGGGCTGCTAAGTATCTACATGTGCACAAAAGGAGTGTAACTGGTGGCGAATTTCTAGTGTAGTGCTCTGTGGACAATCAGGGAAGGACAGGTTAATAGAAGGGCCTACAGGAGAAAAGGTTGATTTAGCTCCGATTCATCATATTGTTGGTGTGGCTATGGTGGTTGGTTTGGATATCTGTGAACATGCTCTAGATGGCAGATGTGACATTAGGATGGACACATAGTGTAAAAAGGGGGGAGTTAAAAAGATCTGGTTGGGTATTTTGAATAAACATTTTGAATGCTTGGAAGTTACTGACTCTGTTCAAGATGCATGGAGCCGATCGCACCTTGAGGAAAAAGGATAGGAGGTGGTAGTGGTGAAAGTGGTATTTCATATTGTGTATTTGCATGGAATTGCAACATCTCATTTGCTTCATGGCTATAATGCTTCACAATATTTGCTCGGTATTGGTAATACATTTGCTCACTGCTAACGCTAATATATTCTCGCATCTTATGTAGGTTTTTCCTTGTATTTCTGCAACTTGTGGCCATTTCTATCACCCAAAATGTGTGGCACAACTGATCCATCGCAATGATGAAAGTCAGGCTCAAAAGCTTCAAGTAAAAATTGCTGCAGGCGAATCATTTACTTGTCCAGTTCATAAATGTCTTATTTGTCGGCAAGGTGAAGATAAAGAGGTTCATGAATTGCAGTTTGCAGTCTGTAGACGCTGCCCTAAGGCCTACCACAGAAAGTGCTTACCTCCGTATGTTCTGGCTGTTTGCCATATCTCCCACGCATCTTTTGAAGAGTTTATGCTTGTGAAGATATAAAATATGTCTCATTTGACTGCTTAATAGTTTATGCTCTTAAACTCACCTTTATCTAGAGTTGACAGTGTTGAGTTTCACCCACTACATGCTTTTTATCAACTTGGATTTTACATATTTTTACCTATATGTATTGTCCTTCATGTGATAGAAATTGTTAAAATGTAAAATACAACTCATGTCATTCTCAAACAACTTAACTTTCGGAGCAAATAGTTGTGTGATTAACATTAACAATGTTACAGGTTACTATTCGTTAATTATTAACATGAAAACTTTGTTATCTGATTTTCATTAACTTTCCCTGCTTCAGGTCTATATCTTTCACGAGCAATGAAAGTCGAAATATTCTCCAAAGGGCTTGGGAAGGTTATTTGCCAAAGCGAATCCTTATATACTGCATGTAAGTTCCATTTTAGTATAAATTTCCGATAAGATAAGTAGTGATCCTTGTAGAGTGAGCACTTGAATGCAAATGTCGTTTAAATCATGTTGACCAGGGATCATACCATAGATAGAAGGCTTAGTACGCCAGCTAGAAATCACTTAAAATTTCCTAATGGTGGACTGAAGATGAAGGGGCTGCTTACAAACAAAGTGAGTGTTGATGATTTGAAGAGAGGCACTACTTCTGAAAATCAAGCAAAGGATAAAGCTGCTGTGAAGATGCCAAAATCAGTTCATGACATTATTAAAAAAGGTAAAATTGGTGTTGTCAGACGAAGCTCAAAAATTGGAGCTATAACAAAAGCAAACAGCATTGATGCTGTAAAGAAGTCATTGACGATCAGCAAGTCCTTAAGTGAGAAAGGTCGAAAGTTCATAGTGAAAAGGAGCTCACAGGAAGACAATGTCTCATCTTCTAAGTCAGGGCCATATTTGGCGAAGAAAAGGCAGAAGATTATGGCTAGCTCAATCTCAGATAAGACTGGGATGGCAAAAGAGAGAAATTCAGCAATCAGTTCAATGGAAGATCGGTGATCCATCAAATCCTTTCTTGTTATGAATTTGCTGCTATGAAACCTCCTCCGCTTTTAATTGATTTTAATATGCCCACATCCAAAGACGAAGTCATATTATCCCATTTGCATTTGATGCTTATTTTTTGTGTTGCAAATTGTTTTTCTCATCCTGTCATACAGAATATTGACTTTTGTTGAACAAGCCTCTTCCGAATTTAATGCCAAAAGATTAGTGAGAAAGCAGAGCATATCATCCTTATATGCTCCTGGTTCAAAGTTCACTTTGGACAAGACCATAACAATGAGCAAGGTCGAGGGCTTTCTGAAGGTATCTCCTACTACTGGTGCAGTAGAGTATCTATCTGTACTTTGTAGTCGTATGATCAGCTGTCTTGTTATTGAATTTCTTTCATGTACTTTCTGAAGGCCACTCGAACAGCATTGCAGAAGCTAGATGAAGGATATGCAATTGAGGAAGCTAAAGAAATATGTGAACCAGGGATCCTCAGACAGATACTCATATGGAAGGTCTAAGTGATTCTGACTTGCAGCTACTTCACGGTTACATTTGTGCAAGATGTGTTTGTCAATACTTTGGAGAGCAGATACATTTTGTTAACTAATACGGAATGTGTGCATGTTGATCTGGACATGCTTATTTTAGGGTCCGGCTAGTTTCAGTTTTGCCTTAATTTAAGTGGACCGGTTAGACCATAGGCAATTGGTTGCCTAAACTGAACGTGTGGGTGGGTAGGTGAGTGTGCTTACAGCTCAAGATATGTGGATTGATGATCAACACACAGAAAATCAGGGTTGAGGACTAGCGAGTGGGCTAGGTGGTGGCTGATCTTGTTGGAATTGAATGTGACAAGTCTAGTTACTTTAGTTATAAAAACTGGTTTAGGTCCATTAGAAGCATATTACATGGAGTTGGAGCACATTACTTTTCAGATGATTAGTAGCTGTAGATAACTGATTACTTGCTCGTGTGTATCCAGAAGAAGCTGAGAGTGTATCTTGGACCATTTATTCATGGTCCACGCTATACATCATTTGGACGCCATTTTACTAAAGTGGAGAAGCTTCAGGAGGTAAATCATTCTCCCGTGTTTTTCCTGCTGGTGTTATCACTTTATGGCAGATAGCTTACAGTTGAAGCTGTATTATTAAGTAGAATTTATCTTAACATTCTTTTTCAAGGGAGAAGTCTGCAAGTGATAAATTCTTTTGAAAGAAACCATGACCTTTCTATTGTCATTTATGGCAGAAAAATGTGAGGGAGCTCTATGCTTTGATTGGATAGGGTGGGGAAAGAAAATAGGATAGAAAATTGAAAAAGAAAAAAAATTTCCTCTCTTCTTGCCAGAAAAATTTCAAATTCTTCTGAACTTTCCAGTTAAACTTTCGTTCCCCCCAGTTTCTCTGCTTTTCCAAACAAAAACAGTCAATTATTACCGAATGTGGGACCTGAGGCCAAATAAATGCCAGCAGACTGAACGTGTTGCTACTTATGGTTTGTCCTTTTGCCTTGAGCACATTTTTTTCGGAGATGATTGTAGAGCTTGCACAATATCTTATTTTTCTTCTTTTTTTTTTCACATTCTGTGTCCATGAAATAATAGATGGATATAAATTATTTATTGCACACTGTCCACAGATGAATGGTCTGCAAATTCAGTTTTCTAACCAAATCTTATGGGCTTCGTTCTGTAGATTGTGAATAGGCTCCATTGGTACGTGCAAAATGGGGACACTGTAAGAGCTCCATCCTCTATCTGTTTCCATGCTTCACTTGGTGGCTCTACTTTTTCTCTTTTGTTTTAGCTTTTACGCCCGTTCTTGTCGTTCCGTTATTATTACTTTGAGGCTTGGCTTTAAGAAAAAACAAGCTACTGCAGATACTGCACTGCTCTCTCTGGGTGCATCAAGAAGGAATCTCTGGATTCTGTGTTCACCTTTAGCAGGGCCAGGCTGGGGTGGGGGGGCATAAACATCTAAATATTTCTTCCATTTCAGTCTGTTATGTTTGAAAGATGATTATGATGGGCCGCCATTACTTTCCAACACTTATACCACTATCATGCTGCATCAAACTCATAGCCCACGAGGTTTGCCAAATTCCATTTCTTAGACTGGAAATCAGCAATTCTTCAGCCACATCACCCCATTCATGCCCTCAGAATTTTCTTCTTTTTTTAGGGTCTGCTCAATAATTATTCAACCTGGATAAGTTTTTCGCAAAAAATTTACAGGAGGTTCATGGGATCATTGAATATAATATTTTGATATAAGTGCACTAGAAGTCCTAAAACTTGTCACGAAAGTGCAACTGAGTCCCAATACTTTCAAAAAGTGCAATTAAGTCCTAAAATTTGTCAGGAAAGTGCAGTCGAGTCCTAAAACTTTCAAAAAGTGCAATCAAGTCCTAAAACTTGTCACGAAAGTTCAATTGAGTCCTAAAACTTTCGTAAAATGCAATTAACGTAAGCACTTGATTCGACCAATTTGATAAGTTTTAGGACTTGATTGCACTTTCGTAACAAGTTTTAGGACTTCCAATGCACTTATCCCTAATATTTTTGTAATTGGCCAACATGTAGGCAATTCGATGAGACATTGCCGAGTGTCATATAGATATAGTCCTATTCTTGGGGTTTCCTTCCATGAATTAATTACTCTTATGAACTTGTACTACCGTACTTTTCCACAACATCCAGGTCATGCCATCCCGTCCCTGAAATAAATTACAAGCTAGACAATCTTTCCATTTGATGAGAATATATCAATGTATAGTTTTATTATTATGTTAAACTTTTCCAGATGTTGAAACATCTGATTATCGAAAATTTTCCTAATTGGAGGGTATCTTCATATATATGATGATATGTAATCATGGTGGTTTATGGTTTTCTCCATGTATTTTCTGCTGCTTCTCAAGTTGTATTTTTTTTATACCGTATTCTTTGGGCAGATAGTGGATTTCTGTTGCGGTTCTAATGAGTTTAGTCTTCTAATGAAAGAAAAGCTCGACAAAATAGGGAAGCGCTGCTTTTTCAAAAACTATGATATTTTCCCACCCAAGGTAAATCTTGACTCTTTCACATTGCTGTACTTTTTTACAAGGGAAATGTTTCTTTTTATGCTTCCCGTGTACTCTGTTATTTCCTTTTGGTTAACTTTCATCTTAAAACAGGATTAATCTTGACTCTTGCCATATCAGACTCTTCAGAAGTTTACTAAGAATCATTGGTGTGAGATTTGGTGGGACTACAGCCAACTGTTCTAAAAACTTAAGCAGTTAGATGAAGACGTGGTTTAATATTTAATTATTCTAATACTCTCCCTCACACTTTGTCTGGTCCTTTTGCCTAGTACTAAGTGTGGACATATTTAATTGGAGAGGCAAATGGGGCTTGGAAAGATTTGAACTCAGGACCTCTAGCTCTGATACCATGTGAGATTTGGTGGGACCATAGCCAACTGTTCTAAAAGTTTAAGTTGTTAGATAAAAGCACGGTTTAATATTTAATTATTGTAACAGTTGGCTTGGTCATCTATATCAGTAACGTCATGAAGAGTGGTTTCTTAATGGAATATAGATATGATAATTGCAGAGTGTGTTCCATTTCCTTTCACATTTGTCATTTGGAGGTTTTTTAGGAGGCAAAATCCTTTTAAACATTGAGATCATCATTTTCTATTGCGGTTTTCATGTTGGGGATGCAAGGTGATTGATGACGTCTTAGTTTTGTCCACCATATTTTGGTAATTGTGTTCTCGTTCCCTAAGTCTAAGTGTCGTTTTGACAAGGAGTCCTAGAATTATTGTCCCTGTGTCAGGAACTAGAAACTAAGACTTTTTTTTAGAGCTGAATGTTTAAAGAACTGGAAGCGAGTGCTAGGCAGAGTTTTTGAGTAAAATACTATGTCTTGTAATTGACAAACACATGATAGCTTGTCTCACATGGTGGTTGTTTAAGGAAATATTTCAGATATGTCATCTTAGAACTATGGGCAGTTCTCTTATAGTCTTCATGATAATCTTGTTCTTAACAAAAATGCAAATGACAGGTTTCCACTAAAACTGTTGGTAGTAATCTTTATGTGATTCTTAAGGTTTGAGAAGCCTGAAAGTTGTTAAGTACTTGTTTTCTAGAAGGAAGTTTGAGATATTGTCAGATCACTCTTAGGAGCTAGAAATAAACACATATATATAGGACTCCACCTCAATATTTATTTAGTAGTCATATATATTTCAGAACATTGAGGAATTGATTTGTGAAAGAAGGGTTGACAGTTAAACATCTGATCCAGCTATTGAGGCCCGGTTAATGAATCCATAGCAACTAGGCCAATAATGATACTACATGCAAGCATTACATTGTTTGTCTGCTTAAAAACTTCTTGCTGAGATGATTTTGGTGTGATAGGATTTTGTTACCATCAATCCTAACGTTAATCGTCCAATCCGCTTCCCAAGTCCTTGGTTTGATATTATAGTTATTGCTCAATTGTCGATGACCTATATGCAAGTATTGGCATTCTGTGTGTTCTCAAAACCTACTCGACTAAGATAGTTTTTCTGGGTACTACTTAATCATGTCATTTTTCTCTGAAACGTAGTCTGTTCTTAGCTGAATGATCGTTTGTCTTCTATTGTTATTTGTTACAACAATATAGCTGAAATACTTCATTTATTCCATGTGGATTAATTTGGACCTGTGCATGGATCATGAAGAAGTTTTTGACTTTGCTGCAGATTCCTTTTCAGTTTGAGAAGAGAGATTGGATGTCTGTCGATGTAGCGGAATTACCAGATGGATCTGAATTGGTGAGGCAATTAATAGTTAGTCTTCAATCAAAATCATGTTTTGATATGTACTGGATCTTCATTTATTTGCCCCATCATGTCTTTCGTGGAACAGATTATGGGCCTTAATCCTCCTTTTGGTGTTAATGCATCTCTGGCGAATCAGTTCATCAACAAAGCTCTCTCATTCAAGCCTAAGCTCCTCATTCTTACAGTCCCACGAGAAACCAAACGGTGAGGACTTGTAGTTCTCTACTGTTTCCGCAGTTTGTTGAACTGTAAGCTGAAGTACCTCTGACTTCCGTTCATGCTAGACTGGACATTGGAGCTGATCCATATGATTTGCTTTGGGAGGACTGTGAGCTTCTATCAGGAAAGGTATGTTAGGATAATCATGGCACATGCATTAAATATAACGAAAGCAATTGGAACTGATTCCTGAATTTTATTCAAAAGAATGAGGAGGTAAATTGTTTATTTAAAGATTCTGAATGCTCTGAGATGAAATTACATTTATTGAGGTCGAATCCCACCTCTGCTATGTTCGTTTGCCGTCTCACACCATTGTCCTTTTGTTGTCATCTCCTCCTCTTCCTCTCCATCCTTTCTCTTCGTCCTCCTTCAAGCTCCCAAAGAATCTACTTATTGACCAATGTTTGTTTCATGATACTATTTTTGCCTGTAGTTAGCATTATACACGAGAGATAAAAGTGCAATTTCCATAACTTATGTTCAAGATCATTTCTCAAAAAATGATCATTAGTATTGATCAAGAAATGGCCCATGTCTTGGTTTCATGACATTATTTTTTCCTTTAGCTAGCATTTCATTAGAGATAAAAGTGCAATTTCCATAACGTAGTTTTTTTTTTTTAATCAGTCCTACTTTAACTTTCAACTCACTCTCAAACTTTTGCCCTGCTTCTTGCAGGGCGTGTAAGTCGAAACCCACATCTGAAACTATACGTCCTCACCCCTAGCCCCCCTGAGAAGGTGGGGATTCGAACTCCCCACCTCCCCCTTTCCAAGTAGGAAGGTTAGCCACTGGAGCAAACCCCAGTGGTTCATAACGTAGTTTATGTTAATGATCATTTGTCAAAATCCACTGAAGTAGGAATACTAGGAACTAAAATACAATAGTACATCTCTTATTTCATTCATCTTGCATTTTTTGTCCAAGTGTAAAGGAAAAATACAGTTAGGATATTTCGAAGGTATAAAAGGCAGGGAGGGTTGTATGGTTTCGGTGGGAAACTGAGGGCACATGTGCAAAAACACTCCCCTAATGAAAAGAACCATTTGCATTGCACCGGATATGAAAACAATTTCCTGAAGTGACTAACGGTCACAATCTTCTCTTTTCCTTTTTTGGATGACCATTATGTCATTTTGAATAGAGATAATTTGAACAATCTTACAATCTTCTTTTTGCAGTCGTTTTACCTTCCCGGATCCATTGATGTGCACAACAAACGGCTGGAGGATTGGAATCTAACATCCCCACCTCTGTATCTTTGGAGTCGTCGTGATTGGACTTCCAAGCACAAGACAATAGGTGTAGAGCGTGGCCACATTTCCAAACAAGAATATATCAGACATGAAGAAACAAATGCTGGAGCAGCCATCTCGAACTATCTGATGGAAGAAAATTATGATTGCTATCAGGATTACTCCTCTGCAGTGGATGCCAATAACGATTTGTCCAGCATATTTGAAGATTTTCCAGATGAAGATGCTGATGATGGAGTCGGCCCGCTCATTGAAATTTCCAAGAGTTTTCTGGAACGAGAACCGCGTGTAGCTTTTGAAAATCTGACAGTGAAACCGCAAGAAGGATTTTGGAAACTCCAACAGAACCATCATGGAAATGTTCCATTGCAGTCCGAGCATCACAGAGGTTTTGAGGTTCCAGGAATGCGACCGCAAGGCAGCCTCTGGAACCGTCAACCAAATTCTCATGGTTTTGAAGTTCCAGGAATGCGACCCCAAGGCAGCCTGTGGAACCTCCAACCAAATTCTCATGGTTCTGCGGAGTATGCGACGGCGCGTCCTCTGCATCTGGGAGGTATTACTCTACCTAACCAGCAATCCGCCTCGCAGCCGTACGGTTTCAGGCCGCCTTCCTCCTGTGAATATCCGCCTGGGTTTCCCTTTCCCTTTTGATAAAAAACTTAAAATAGCATGCATTCTGTGGACTCTCATGGGCAGCACAACTCTTTTTCTCTATCTTTTTGTCCTCTTCTTCTTATGGTGACTCGTACATCATCGTCTGCTATCCCTAAAGACCATTTGGCTAACTAAAATCTGACTTAGTGAACATAACTTTATTTTATGTGTTCAACGAGTGAATTGCGCCCTGTGGATATTTCAGATTGCCAGGAGGAGCAGCTCTTTTTTTATCTCTAGCATTTCTCCTTTCCAGGACTCTTTCTTCTCCTCATACTTATTTGTGTTGCCATCCGTGCAATTTGCAATCCAATTTCTTTAATTCATCGCACGATCGGATCCAATACAAACGTGGTAAGGACGAAGTTTCGAAGTTCACTTATCCAATGCCCGCACAAACGTGGACGGGACGAAGCTGTAGATATCTTCTTGAGCAACGTTATTATTTTATTGAATATACTACGTCACAACGTGTTGAAAAAATGAAGGTTAAAGTGACAAGCTTTTTAACTGCTAATCACATCAAAAGGTATATTACTTTCTTTAATATAAAACAATCCTTTTCACGTGGAGAAAATATTGCAAAAAAGTAAAAACATTTCTTTACTGGTAAGGGACTTTACTTTTGAAAAAGTTTTATGTATTTAGTAACTCGGTATTATGCTCTTTCTTAGCATGGTAAGTTTATTTAGATTTGAAATTGTAATTACTTAGACATGATTAATAATAACAAATGGCGATTAGTAATATTGTTAATTGAAAAGGTAAATGTCAAATTGATAGAAACAAGCAATATCCTAGTGACTTTGCATTAGCTAGAATAAGTTCCAAGCCACCACTAATTTGTGACTTCCTCGTTTAGATTTAACCGCAAATTAACTATTAATATGTAATTTTTTTTAATAAGTGAAATCTTTATGTGATTATCAACATTTCATCTGGGATAAGTAGCTTCCGATAATCGCCAAGCACGATATTCTCAATATGTTAGTAACTTCGCCTATATCAAAGTAATGTCGATACTAGTTACCAATTGAACGATAAGGCAAGCTCTCTTGTATTTGAGAGTTAATCTAATTCAAGGCAGAAATGAATTCATCAAAAATGATGACATGGAAGGATTCCGGATTTGTTGGAGAGACGACAGCATGCAAACCCATAGTGAGAAAATTGAAAATTGAATTCAGCCAAACTTTTGAAAGCATTTTATCCGTTGGGACTCATAAATTACTCTATTTCATGACACAAGCCTTACAAATTTTCCCCTATACTTAGAGAGGAGAGACTCTCATTGCTGTTCTTGGTCCAGGATAAATTCGTGCACAAAAGGATAAATTTGGTTTGTGATTTAACCAAATGACTGAATATCCGAATTAAGAACCAGATTTACAGGGCAAAGCAGCCCTTCTTCTTAGTAATAGGATTTGCAATGTTATACAACATGTTGGTCCTAGAAATTCCAAAATTTACAACTTCCTCTCGGTGGCTACCTAAATCTACAACAGACCCTTGCCTTCTCTCTTCCCCTCTTCTTCGTCTCAGAAGATCAAGGTCACAACCACAAATTTTAACAATTTGCATTAGGCGGGTGAGCAGCCACCGGTTGTATCAAGTCTTACAACACGGACCGATCAACCTATTTCTGATAATTTTACTTGTCCTCCACTTTAAGTGAATTTAATCTTCTCAGTCTCTGATCAAGCTCTGCCATTACTGCTGGCTCCTGTTTCTTCCTTTGCTTCGATAGAGTGGTGGTGGTCATAGAACCGATTTTATCGAATGCAACCTGCAAGCCAACGGATTCATTTCCAGTGCTAAGTCCGAGAAACTCATTTGAATGGCATACCAGAATCAAGTGATAGAAAGAGTGCTCGGAGCCGTGAGATGAACTTGGGGAAGTCGACAGTGTTTAATGCACATTTTGCTTGATCAGTAGTGTGGTCGAATAAAATTTTGTTAACACTCAGTATAATGAGTGTTTCAGATGCTGGGACAATCTAAATGGTCACACAAAAGATAACAGTGCAAGAGACCACTCAACAACAAACGAGTGATACAAGAGTACAAGAGTGTTTAATGGCATATGAGAACAGAGTGAAACAAGAGTACTGGGAACTGTGAGAGAAACTCGGGGAAGTCGACTGTGTTTATTGCTCATTTTGCTTGATCAACACTGTGGTCAAATTGAACTTAGCATCACTCGACATAATCAGTATTTCAGATGCTAGGACAATCTAAATGGTTGCACAAAGATCACTGTGACAAGAGCTGACTCAACAACAAACAAGTGAACACCTTGCACCTACTGAGCTTCACTCAATCTTCATATCCGCAAAACATTTAAATCTCACGAGACAAAAAAGTGACAAAAAGAAGAGGAGTAACTTACTGTCAATAGGTCATCAGGGTCAAAGAGGTGGTGAGTTGTTCTCTGCAATACGTTAATTACGTCTCCTACATGATGGGTTAGAAGCAGCTCATCCTCCTTCATCTGCATGCGTAACCAGGAATTAAAAGGCCATGGCATTGCCCAATGACTCGATCATTCAGAAATCGATTCCGCAAATAGCAGCAAATGCACAACTTAGAAATATGCAGACCTTGAAGATGGCCAGAGCTACGTGAAATAAAACCTTAGCCCCCTCATAGAAAAGAATATCCCACACTCTGAGAGTTGTCTGAAAATCAAGAAAAACAACAAAAGAAGTGTCAGGTATTTAATTGGTGATGTTATGTTTAAGAGGGTTCCTTGCAAAGGAGTGGAAGAGCATAGTTGCTCCAACCTCCGAAGGCAGGCTTTTAGAGAAGAGGCACAGGAACCACTCCGTGGCAACAAGAGATACATCAAATTCCAGCGCTTCCAGATGAGCAGCTATCCTGAACATTCCTTGTTTTTGTTATCAAACAGAAACCAACCAAACCACATGCGACTGTGCGAAAAAGTCAATAAAATTACCTTGGGCACTTTTTGGTCAGTAAGTCTTTAAAAACCCTTTGTTCAACATGACATCCAGATAAATTAGTGGTGTAGCAATCATTGACCAAGACGTTTTCTAGTAAAACAGCGAGCATCCAAAATGCATCTTCTTCTGTTTTCATCACAAGCAATAATAATGCTGCAACATAGTTTAGACCCTGCAAGAGAGTTACTGGGATCGTAAGGCTTCTTTATTGCACAATAAAATCAACACACGCGACAAAGTGGAAATCCAAATTGAAGTTATCTGCAAAGAACAATATAAGACTTGTATGGGCATATAGATACTTTAGTACCAGTGAGAATATGTATAACATTTTTTTTTCCATTTTTTTCACATTTGGGCAAGACAACCAAGAAGTTTTGGTATAAATATGGGAGATGAGTCCTGAAAGGTGAGAGATCCAGAACACAAAAGGTGACAAACATAAAAAAGAAACATCTGTTGAAGCAAACACAGAAGCCATAAATGAAGTATTTGATCCTCCACATAAGGAAAAACAGATAACGGAGTGCATTTCACCCAAAAAGGCTACATTTAAATCCAGGGGAATAATTCTTATGAGCGAAGATGGAATCCAAAGAATAAGACCGAGGACAGACCTGACAGTAACCAACATCGGAATCACGGAAAGAGTATCCGACTAGGACACGTCGTAGAGTAGCATGACCCTCCGGAGTGTCCAACCATGGGTGACCAGGGAAGGTTCGTGGTAGATCCTGCACGCATAAGCATGGAAATTAGTAGAAGAATAGGAACTATTTCCAACCAGAACTGGAAACGGTGATAGAAAGTTTTTTCTTTTTTTGCGATGAAGTTTTGATTTCGAGCATGACAAAACTAGGAAGATTCAAACTGTCAAGGTGCATTTCTTCTATCTCCTCTACATACAACTAATTGCACATTAAGAAAATTCCCGTTAAAATGAACAAGTATACATTCCAGGAATATATTTTTCTCTTTAAGATAAAGCAGAAACTGATGTCTAGTTACATTTGAATTCAAGAACATGCAAGAACCAACAAATGCAGCGGCAGAAGAAGGGACAGAGGGCTATTTATACACACCATGAACTGCTCATTTTTGTTCAGTTTCCCATGTGGACATCCTTCATCATCCTCTAAATGACTATAGAAGCACAACACCAAACTCATGCCTTATCTTAGGTATCCTCTTTTACTAATCCTGGCAATCTAAATTGACAATAGACTCTGACTATCATTCCAGCAATTCTTATGGCAGTCCATCATATCCCAATGAAGATCAGAAGTCTCATGAATCAGATCAAAATCCTCTGATTTCTGGTAAATGACAGATTCCCGAATCGAAAGACTTCTATGAGAATGAACTAAAGCAAAATTAGAAATTGAAAATGTCACCTAATTAACCAAATCTGAATGGAAAACGAGAGCGATCACATCGCTATTCTTCTTCTACAGGCAAGAGAAAATATATATCTATACATATAGGGATCTTTCTTTTTCAAACTAAACAATTTCCATAGGCACAATTAGCATACCACTCCTCACAAAGGAGACGGTAATTAGCAATCAGACATGCAAAATCCATTCGGCCCACAAATTAAATCTCGCACAGGCGATCCGGCGAAAAACCAAATCCAACCAAAATCGGCACAGGCGATTTCATGGGGGCCCGTCCAAAGTCCAAACTTTTTACTCACATGATCAATCTGTCTCGTAGCAGCCGTGACCTTGCCCTCCACAGCCTTGGTCAGATCATTGTAATAGCTCTCCGGCACGGTGGACTTCTTCTTCGCCGCCCCGGAGAGCGAGAACCAGACCTTAGGCCTCAGAACGGGAGGAATCCCCTTCCTTATCAGCTTCTTCAGCGTGATCGCGTTGGCCAGAGCCGATATCTTGAGGGACGACTTGAGGGCAATCCCGTTCGAGACCTCCGGCTGCAGGTACCAATTGGCGCCTTTGCTGGCCTCGAGAGCCCACCACACGCGGCCTTGCTCCCGGACCTTCTCCCTCACCTCGTTCAAGACATTGACGTCGTCCACATTACCTTCCACGGTGAACCCGTACAGGTCCTGGAACTTCACGGTCAGATTGGCCCTCCGGGAATGGATGCTCGGCCTCAAGATTGGGATTTGGGACTGCAACTCGAGGGCCAGGTCTCGCTTGCTCTGCGTCCCGTACATTTCTTGATCTTCCCTATCGATCCGTGCGCGCGGGGAGATGGATCAAGAAACGAGAATGGGTCGGAAGGAAACGACGGGAAGGGGAAGAGAGAGAAAGATGGTGATGGGTTAGTGGGGTTGCTCGGATTGGGAGACAGCGAGCGACGAAAAACCCGACCTTGTCAACGGGGGACGAGGGAGGAAGAATCAAACCCACATGTCCGAAGCCATGAAACGGTCGCCCGGGATTGGTGAGGGGAGGTGGGTGCGGTTGTGTGCGCGTTCGTTCGTTCTTGAGAGATGGTGGAAGCCAACGAAGGGGTGCGCCGCCGCCGCTGCTGATGATGCAGAGGAGGGAGGAGGGTCACGAGAGGCGATGGTGCGTCGCAGAGGAAGAGATCGAAGATAAACTAGCCATGGGAGGAGGGACCTTGAAGAAGCTCGAGCTCAATTTTTCAACATGTAGAAATGGTTTTCAATCCTTTTTCTCCTCCTCCTCATTTTTCCAGGGTTTTTGAGAGGACGGAAAATTTTTGAAAAAAAAAAAAACTCAAAGAAAAACTTGAAGGGAAAAATGTAAAGATCCAAGGGGAAAACAGTTATTTTCCTGTTATTTATTTTTATATTTTTCGGTAAGGAAAATCATTTTTCCCGTTGTTTAATCGCAGCACAAGTGACGGAAAAAGCAATTCTTTGAAATTGAATGCCGATGTAGACATTAGCAAAAAAGAGGGCTAATTCAAAAAAATATATATATCAACTTTATTTTGAATGATAATTCTTGTCTGAACTTTTTTTTTTGTCTAAATATAAAGCACCAACTCTTATTTGAGTATCAAATCTAGTCCCCACGATGCGAAATTTTCAAATTTTTCAGATTAAATTTTTTATTTAAGTGAAAGTTAATGATGTTTTATGAAACAGAAAAAAGTTCCATCTGAAATTGTTAATCATGACAAACTTGGTATTTTTTTCTTGGAATTATGCCTTAGAAAAAAAAAATGTGTGTTTCTTTTTCGTCTCTATATTAAGAAATGAGAAAAAAAAAAAAGAAGAGGAAGAAGAAATTAATCGGGACTGACTCTTGTGAAATTGTGGGTCGGGTTCCAAACTCTTTATTTTTTATTAAGAGAAAAAGGATGAAAATGCCCGTACGAAAAAAAACGATTTTTTTGTCTCTTTTCTTTTATTTAATTTTTCCATTTAAAATTTTGGGGGAACGTTGAAAAGAGACGTTGATCCTTTTGATGCAACAAAAAGGGCAGTTTTTATGAATGGCGACGCGCTCCATTATTGGTTGGGGGGCTCCGCTCTAATGCGGGTTAGGTTAAAAATTTGCCCGATATTATGACCCGGAACTCGAAATTACCAATCTGCCCTCCCGCCCCCTCTTTGGGGAAAAAGGACAAGCCCCTTTTTTTACATTCCCAAATTCCTGTATGTACATGTCCATATCAACTGAATTTTTTTTTATAATCGTATCATCATAGGACGTATAAGACACCGCCTGAATCGTATTTTAGGATATAAGAAGAAATATTAAGCAATGCGATAACAAGAAGAAATTTACTCGTCTAGGCTTCTCGTGGCGCCTTGGCCAAGGCTCGGCAAGGGCTGCCTTGAGGCTCTAGGCTAGCAGCATCGATGGGCCCACGCGGAATGATCAGCGTTGGCTAGATCGCCACGTCAACGATTTCCAGTTAAGTCGTCAAAAGATTTAAACTTATATTGGTAAATTACTAAAAAATTATAACTGAATTGACCGTCATATATTCTCCCGGGCGTTTTGGACATGGTAGAACTGTTAGTGCATATAACTTTTTGTAGAAAAAAAATCAAGGAAAAAGACCACACAAAAAAAAGGTTGACAATAAAAGCTTACGGGGTTATATTGGGCATTCAAGTAGGAAAACGCGTTAGGTGATTGGTGGAAAAAAAGAAAAAGGAAAAGAAAAAGGATGGCTGCAAATAAGCGCCACTCAACTTGACAATTTTCCTGCTTTCAGTGCTCGCGGTCCACAATCACACGCATGTTAATCATTTGGATAAATATCACGAAAAATTTTAAATTAATATATTTATGATGAATTTACTTTAAATGGGCATATATGTGGCAAATTCAGCCAAAATTAAATTTTCGGGTAACCAAAAACCCTAAATCGATACTCGTGCGACACGTTTACCCTCAATTAGTTTCCGTCAAATTTTACTGTAAAATTGATTAGCTGGATGACACACGGCGGTAACTCAATTAACGTGGCAAATCTATAACTCTCTCTATCTTTGTTGATTCAATCAGCCATGATTTATCGACCAAAAAAAAATAAATTAGCCATGATTTGAAAACAAACAGGATTCATTCTCCCCCTCCCATAGAGCACGAAAAACCCGAGACCGTCTTTCGACAAACTTCGTTAATAGAGCTAGCAGAGAGAGAGAGAGAGAGTTATGAATTTCCACGTGAACTTATCACGTCACCTGATTTATTGTCATGTGTCATCTAGCTCGGTAATTTCACGATAAAATTTGACTAAAATTAACGGAAAGCAAACATATCACGCGTGTACCAGTTTCAGGTTTCCGGCGACCCGAAAAATTTAACCAATGCATTAGATTTTTATACACAGATGCATTAGATTTTAATAATAATATTTCCGCCAATTACACCTCCCGCGGGCCCTACGCCGCATGAAAGGAGTCAAAATTTTCTTCCGGGACCACCCCTGCTGAAGCTGGCACCGAGGTGGGACCCCCACCTCATCATGTGCGGTCCCGCCACGTGTCCCCTGGGCGATCGCTCGTCCGGCGCTCCCCTCGTGTCCCATTAGTATAGACGGTATAGACGGTCCCGGCGAGGTTTGGGTGTGGGACCCGCCCCCAGATCGCGACACGTGTCGTTCTCCGCCCGATTCTGATTTGACTCTCTCTCCCTCCTGTGGCCAAATGGATGCTGCCGCCGCCGCCGCCGCTGCTGGCCCTCCGGGTCGGCATTTTTGGGCCGTCCTCCACCGGACTCAGGCCGGTCGCGATCCTGCGTGATCCCCCCAACGCATCTTGTAGAGGGAGCAGAAACAAGAAAGCAGTAATTTTACTTTGACTTTGGTCAAGTGCTGATGCTGATGCTGATGTTGATGTACCCAGAGCGCTTCTTGTCTCGTCGTGTGTGTATCCCGATCGAATCCCGATCGAATTTCGCACCTTCAAATTTTGAAATATTTCGTCAAAATTTGATTGGTTCTTCACCCGTAATCGAACATTAGGGAGAAAAATGACATGAATGATTCATGCACTTTGATCCAATATACAAAGTGATCATTGAATTTTCAATTGGTTCAATGTGATCCATGAACTTTTGATACATGTTCAAAATCAGTCCTTGAACGTGGCTCTCGAACTTTTAATTCGTTCAATATGATTTCTGAACTTTTTCTATATATTCAAATTAGTCCATGGACTATATAAAATTCAGTTTGGGGACCATGTTGAATATTGTGCCAAAGTTCAAATATTATTTGTGTTGTTATCCCAACATTTGGTATATACCCTATGTGCAAAGTACTTCTTCCAGTGTCGGAAGTGTCGACGTAGAGTTGGTGAGAGATGGGGCTCCGACTCAAGTAATTCTCGTAACCTCGGCGAGGGCAATGTAGGCTTAGTTTGACTGTAGGAGCTAGTCCAATTCGACGTGCGAGAGAACCGGTTCGAATCGAGACGTAATTTATTTACGAAGAGAACCGAGTTGATCTACATCCCAAGTATAAGGTCCGAGGGAGAGATGAGAGAGAGCCTATGTTTGCACTTACAATCCGCTGCTCTTCGGCGTTGGCATGGCGATGATGAGATTGAGACATCACTCGACGAGGCCAATCGTGGCCACTTCGTACGTGCACGTGCGGTGGGTGTCGCCCCAACTCTCGTATTTTTCCTTTGGTGCCAAGCCATATACATCATGACCATATCCCTCCTGACCGTGATCGGTCTACTAAGCCAAGTCACCGAGCTCGAAGCCGGCCCGAGCGGGCGTTTTTTTTTTCTATAGTTTCTCGAGGGACCGATGGTACTCCTCCCCTTTTCGATATAATGCGCCGCGTCGTTTCCCCATTCTCTATCAAGAACAAGGGCTTCCTTTATATCTCGCGAAAGTTTCCGAAAACTGTCTTTTTCCGTGTGATCGAAAATTACCCGGCCCCGAGCACGCCGGATGAGATTGCATGGATGATTGCGATAAAAAAGAATTACCCGTTCCCGAGCACGCCGGTGAGCGATTGATATAATTTGGGGAAGAGTACGTGAGAGACGACGACCCCACCACTAGTTCTAGGATTTGGCAAAAGATGTAACTTAACAAGCAACTGAAGCACGCACGTACCCTGAAGTTTCCTCAAGGCATCGCCAAGAAAGTCAAAGTCTTGAACCCCTCCAGATCTAGGATATTGCCAATCATGTTCTGCTTCGCGAGCTCGTTCTATATGCGATTACTGTTTTTTGGATAATAAATTAGCTAGTATTCTCTCTGTACATTTGCTTCATCAAAACCGTTTCTCTACCACTTTTTTTTTAATATTCAAAATGATCCCTGTATTTTTTAAAATGTGTCGCCGATCATCTTTGTGCCTTTTCGATGATGGATTTATGCCGATATTGACTTAAAGTCGTTAAAAATTGCTGATTCGGGCTTGACGTCGTTAAAACTTGCCGATGTAGCGCATAGGTGGAACTTTTTTTTTTTTTATCACTTTTCAAAGTGTTATATCTCACGTCATCCGCAAGAACACAAATTCTTTTTTAACTAAGATTAATGGTATCCTTCTTCCTCTTTACTTGTCTAAGACATCATCGAATTCAAAAACCCTAGCTGGCTCTAGCACAAGCTCAATCTCTTCTATTTTGCGACCTCAAGCTCGCAATCATAGTCACCCGAGCTCTAACAACTTGCAGCTAGCCATGGCCACTAGATCTAGAATATCGTGGCAATGGACGCTCGATCCGGAGTTTCATGGCCACAATGGTAGTGAAGCTCGAGCTAGTTGGAGCCATACCCATCTCAAGCTCGACCATAGCTACCATATCTCAAGTTCAAGGCCATGGTTGCCATATATTGGGGTCATAGTTGCTAAATCCAGAGTGTTCATGGCGATGGAGACACTCGATTCAAAATCTCACGGCCGCCATGGTTGTAGGGCTCGAGCTCGTAGCCCTGACCGCTCGAGCTTCGACGTCTCGCAACCATGGATGATCAAGCTTTAGGAGGCATTGTGGGACGTTGGCGAGTGGTGTCGTCAATATTGACGAGACTAGGGTTTCTTTATTTTTTTTATTTTTAGTTTTCCTATCTTGCCTATTATTTTATGCATTTCTTTTATATCTTTTCTACATA